TTATACATTCAATTTGATTTTAATAATATTCAGTTAATTCGAAAAAAAAGATACATTTAGTAGTATTACTTAAATAGTCATCTAGCTGAGCGGCCAGTCGAATTCTTTACTATCTGTTTTCCTTTATGCTTGGAATCAATTTTCTATGCACTTTGTCTATTTTGCTCTTTACAATAACTAATATATCTATGTATGCATATTAAATCGAAAAAGTACATTTTGTGAAACTACTGACTAGTGAGCTTTTCAAGGTGAACTCCACGGATTCCAATGAACTTTCGTCCATGATACTATACGATGTTATAGTAAAAATACCAATGACTTTGAATGCATAGCACTTTCTTGAAAAGTTATGCTCATTTTTCAGATTTTCTTTTTTTTTTGAGTTGCCAAAAAGTGAAATAATCGACTTTTGCTCAGAAATTTTATTAATACATAGGCCGACTGAACACTAAGACACCATGAAACTTTTAGCAATAACAAATGTGTTCTTCGAAATATACTCACTTTTTGAAGAATTGTCTCTTTTCTCAAAAGCACTAGACAATCGAACTGTTTTGAAGGAATATATTTAAAAGAACATATTTATTATTGCTAAAAGCTTCAGAGTGTTTTAGTGCTTAGTTTGTGTATTTATTAACAAATTTTCAAATCAAAATTTGTTTATTTCACTTTCTGACAACTCAAAGAAAAGGAAAAAATCTGAAAAATGCGTATACCTTTTGAAGAAAGCACTACGCACTGAAAATAGTGGAATGTTTTCACTGGAGAACATCGTGCAGTATCCATGAACGAAAATTCATTGGAATCTGTGGGGTCAGCTTGGGAGGCTCCATCGTGAATTGATTCTATTAAAATATTATTTTATCAACATAATGATGGATCTCTTTGTTAGTAATTACTTGTAATTATTAATATGACAAATTTTCATGTGTATCAGTAGCAACATAATGTGATGAAAATGAATAAAGTCTGATACATATTAGAAAACGATTATACTATTTTGAACAGGCTTCCTTTAGTCAGAACACTTCAACAATAGCGATAATCATGTTTCTAATGAATTTTAAAGTTTTTATATAGTTTGAACTACTTCAAGACACTAATTTATAGCGATCAAGTGAAAGCCATTCCGATCCATTCCTAGCCATTCGAATGGCTCGGAATGAGTTTTTCCCCCTTTCCTGAGCGTCTATTTTTTCAATGGGCATACTTTTAGAGAAGAAGATGAAAGAAAAACAAACATATGAAAAAGTAACATGTACAAGTAATGAACCGATAGCCACCAGAGAACGATCAAAAGTTAGTTAAGGAGCATTCACGCAGAGACAAAAAAATGTAAAACAACCGCTCTTCTTCTTTTTTTTCTTCTTCTTACTGGTTGAGATGCCTTGATTAGATCAATTGAAATTATCATGATTATTCGTTCTTCTCCGCGATCGGCGGTTTTTCATTTATAATTGAAGGCGTGAATCTTCCGATATGTATTTTGTCTTTAATTGTTTTTTTTTATTGTATTTTATTTATCGTGTCACCTAAGTTTGATTCTAATCGATGCTATCTGTTGATGGTTTAATTTTCAATGTATCCTATTGGCATCCTGTGGTAGCGATTTGACACTCGACGTTGTGGTGGTGCATCGCACGTTGATGGATTGTTTTATTTTACATTTTGTAGATTTAAATCATCATCCATCGATTCATCATTGATGTTTGTTGTTGTTCTTTGTCTTTCGTTGGTTGTTTGATCGTTCTCGGTAACCGTCGTATTTCGCTTGTTTATAATTGGTTCGAAGTACGGTTTGAGACGATCCGTGCTTGTTGCACCAAGTTGTATGTTATCATTGATTCGAAGAACTGTGAATGTACTCGGTGTTAATTGTTTGATCAGGCGGCACGGACCTTGATAATGAGGTTGTAATTTTCCAGCTATTGAATTTTCACCAATTTGTTTTGTTGGAATAGCTACCCATACCAGATCACCTTCGGCGTATCGTCTGTCGGTAGTATGTCGATCGTATTTACCTTTTTGTTTAAATTTTTCTATTTCTGCATGTTCTTTGACGATGTTGTATGCATATCGTAAATTATTAATTCAATTTTTTTGGGATTCTTGAATTTTTCCATGCTCATCTGTGGTTAGTTGTGCATCTTCTGTTCTTTCACCGATCAATAAATCAAGTGAACCTCTCGAATCTCTCCCAAACACCATGAAAGCTGAAGTTTCACCTGTTGTTTCGTTGACGGCTGTTCGTATTGCATATGCTATTTTTTGAATTTTTTTATCCCATGAGGTGGGTTGTTGTTGAGTGTGTATGGCAATTAATGGCTTTCATGTTCTGTTCACACGTTCCGTCATGTTGCTTTGAGGGTGATAATTTGCTGTTAAATTTTGTTTTATTCCTAATGCATCACAAAAATTTTTAAATAAATTTTAAATAAATTGTGGACCATTGTCCGATACAATGTGTTTTGGTAGTCCGTATTTTGAAAATATTTCATTCGTAAGAATATTTGTTATGTCGATTGATGTAATTGAATTCAACGGGAATAATTCGATCCATCGAGTAAAGTAGTCCACAATAACGAGAAGAAATCGTTTCTGTCGTGCAGTAGTCGGGAATGGACCCATAATGTCCATCCCGATTGTATGCCATGGTTCATTCACTGCATGTAATTGTATCGGACTTGCCGTTGGAGCATTATTGTATTTAAATTGTTGACATGCATAAATGTAATTAAATACGTCTTTTTTCATTGACTCCCAATATACCCTTGTTGTTAATCTAAATAACGTCTTTTGTTGACCACCATGTCCAGCTGTAGGGTGATCATGAGCCCATCCTAGCACTTTATTTTGCATTGTTTTTGGAATGACCAGTAAATGCTTCTCACCAATGATTCTTTGATTGTAATGTATATTTGAATTTTTTATCTTGTATAATAGTCCATTCACAAGAATGTGTGGATTGCGTTTGTCCTTAGAATCAGTTGTTGTCTTTGTTTCTAAAAAAAATATTATTTGTTTTAATTTTGGATCTACTTGTTGTTCTTCTTTTATGTCCTTCAAAATGTTTGTATTCTGCCACAGGTTGACAGCTATTTCTATTGTTGACACTTCGTGTTGATTGACAATATCATCAGGTAATGTATTACGTGACAATGAATCGGGGTTTGCATTTAATTTTCCTGGTCGATATTTGATTTCTTCGATTTGATAAGCTGATAATTTCATCGCCCATCGGGCTAATCGATC